TCTTATAATTTCTCTTTAATAAATGTATAATCGTCACTGACTGACTGACTGACAAGCAACGCACAATATATACTACTGTGCTTAGCCATACTCTATCTTAAAATACCTTACGGTAATTTGTAGTTCTTCTGGTATTATAGGTGTCCTTACCCGGTACTGACCACTCACCATCTGTTGAGCCACCTACGCGTTTGCCTCCTGTTTCACGAAAAATTTGAACTGAAAATTGGCATGTATGTTGTATACGTTACTTGGAGAATGTAGTGATACATCAAGACAGGACTTCCTTAAAATTTCAAGGGAATGGACAATGCGGGAATAGGGTAGATGTCTAATTTTTATTTTAATGTCCGTGTCGTAGATTATTTTAAAACATTACACACGTATTTTCTATTTTCGTACAGAAACTAATACTTTCGACGATGTATTGATTTGAAATGCGTGACGTCACTTCTATCTATGTACATTTTATACGTAGAAATGACGTTTTAGCCCCCACTCCTAAACTTTGATTCGTTTTATCTAAGTTTTGTTTTATTATACGACAAAATAAAAAATACGTGTCTAATATTTGTTCATTACCTAACTTACGGACTAATTAAATTTTTAATTTTCGTATCCTGTCATGATCCCAATTGTCTTTTTATGTATATAAAATCGCTGTCGGAAGTTAGTCGTGTTATAAAATAATACAAGTGTATGTACTGATTTATTGAGCACGTTTATTTATTATGTTACAGTACAGTATCAATGTGTTCTAGTAGTTACGAATAAACACGGGACTATATCTAGTATGTACAGTTACAATAACTAATATTAGCTAACTATTGAACACTAAACCATACCGAGTATTTCATTCGAATATCATCGTTAATACGTATTACATAGAGTTTTAAATTAAATAGTGTACAGTACCCGGCGATGGATATTGCACATCGACCTTTGGAACAAGACAATCAACTGAGTCGCCGAGTCAAATCGTAAAAAGATTGAATAAGTAAAATAAATTCACAGAATTGTCTCTTTTCACAAGTCGACGTGCGATATTTATTGCCAGTCACTGTATTCACGAAGGTAATATAAAACTTTTTTTACTTGAATGTTTATGAATATTATAATCAAACATTTAATACCAAAAATATAATAGTTTCCTAATAATTCCTAAGTATGATTTAAAATTATTTACTATTAAAAATTTATTCGTTATACAGATTCTATTCAATTAATCTCATGTCAAATCTATTTCTACTCAGAGTCGCTTTATATTTACATTCTTATTTATTACATAACGAGATATTATAATTACTTGAAAGGTCTATTAATACAATAGAGGATTTTGGATTAAAATCAAAGCATTTTACGTTTGTTGTAGTTAAATAAAGTAATATAATGTTAACACACGACGTTATAATTTATTAAAAAATGTTTTGAGTGAACTAGCACAATTTTTATATGGTGAAAAATATTAAAAATATCTCATCATATATTTACTTTGAAAATATACATACATAACATCACGCCTTTTATCCCCGAAGGGGTAGGCAGAGGTGCACACCACAGTACAATGTCACACCCACTTTTCACTAGTTGTTATGAGTCCCATGTAATAGGGGGTGAGCCTATTGCCATATACCGGGCACATTTCCAGACTCCGTGCTACTACTGAGAATTTTAAAAAACCCAGTAATACTTTGCCCGACCCGGGAATCGAACCCGAGACCCCTTGCCCGGCAGTCGCACTTGCGAATACTCGGCCAACGAGGCAGTCTTTGAAAATATACATTTTAACTATTATGTTTTCGTATTACTCATGTAACTGTTTGACGGGGAACTCGACTAGTTTCAAGCCATGCTGGAGGCTCATATTCATGAGCGACCCGCGACGCGGCGCTGCGACTGTCGCTGCGACTGCTACTGCTATTAATATAGTATGTCTCACGAAAGTTATAATTTAAATATACATTTTGATATATATCAGAAATAAAACATCCCAATGAATTCAAAGGTTATTAATACACAATTTAAATACAGTGAAACGTAAATTCCAAATTAATTCCTAATGTAATTTGATCGACGACCGATTAATGTTGATACTTGACTACATTATAAATGTATTAATACGTATATAGGTATAACATTATGTTTGTATGTATTTACACGTTTATACATCGGCAGCGTTCCACGCTACTGTCACTAAATGTACTCACTATCAGATTCCTACTCTACGACAAATGCTACAAGTAAATCTCAACTATACTATTAAGTACATTAGGTAGTATTTAGTTTATAAAATTACGACAATCTAATCTTTTATAAGCGAGCAATACGCCATATTTACATTAATGTTTCTTAATTTTATTATTTTTTTTAAATATCTAATTGTTTAGAAAAATTAAACATTTATCACTAAGGAATAAGAAAGAAATAAAATCGTTTTTAAAAAGATATTTTATCTATTATAGAAATTGTTATTTACATAGAACCATACAATTAATTTTAAAGATTAAAGTCCGTAATATATTTTAAAATAATAAATCATTTAACTTAGCGTTAAGATTAGGTTACGAAGAGTCGCTACAAACATTATAAGCCTTATACAGTCTCCTATTTATATCGAAAGTATCAGGAATATCTATAGCAGCTTCACTAACATAAAGTAACTATGATATTGAACAAAGTCTTTGACACAGCACTACACTACAGGCTTGTGACGTCACGCGTCATTGATGACCACTAGAGACCATCTTCCAAGTACTTGTCAATGCCACAGTACGGCACACCAGTGACGCACGAAAGCCCAATGACGCATTACAGCACAGTCCAATATTTCAGGTACCCCTAATCAGAAAATCCATCATTATTTGTATTGTCAGAGGTTGGGGAGGTGCCTGGTGATGGGACTTGCAGCTGTCTGCCATACATGAGCTCGGAGGGAGGCATGAACGAGGATAAATATTCAGGCGGCGGTCGGATCACTGTCGGTAGGTACCCGGTACCACTGTACGGCGGTGTCAGAAACCGGCGTGATGGAGAGAACTTGAAGCTCTGGTTCGAAAGTGGAGAGAAGGCAGACTTCGACTGATACTGCATGTAGGGAGGCGACTCCTGAGTCACTTGGTAAGGGTTCGCGTTCTCCCCGTTTATCATCATCTCCATAGCAGCCACCACGTCTCCCTTACATCTCGCTAAGATCCCTTCGATCTCCTGTCGACTGCGCCTCGGGAACACCTTTATTAGAACATCTACTGGTGACTTCTGATACGGAGAAGGGTCTTCAGTGACCGTCTCTACCGTCTCCTTCCTCTCTCGTCTGAACATCTTGTATTTGAAGTCAGGGTTGTCCCATTTATCTTCTTCCTCCTTCTTGACGGGAACCTCTTCTCTCTGCTCTTTCATTGAAAGGTTTTCAGGTGTTAGTGAAGGTTCTGTCTCTTCTAGTTCCTCTTCAACGTTTAGTTCATGGTCTGAGGGCGAGCGCGGGGGTGGAGTAGCGAGTGGAGGGGTGGGGGCAGGTGTTTTTGATTCTTGTTGTGAATCTGTCGGTGGTGATGGACTGGAGCAGACTTCTGTGATGCGGGCTCTTTTCTGAACTGTTGACAAAGAAATTCATGTTAGAAAGTTACAAACAAGTACATGTATTTGCAATAGTTGCAATATTTGCAATCAATATTCAAGGTTGTAAAGCGTATATCTGAGTATAAATTCCCCTCTGTTGTCAAAGGTTAAACACTTTTGCGCATCGCCGCCTACACTCGCAGTGCTAAAATAAAACGCACACAAATATTGTACCAGCCACACAGTCACACAAAATATCGAATCAATTTAAAAAAAAAAACATTCCAAAATCAAACAAAGACTGTTTCTGTGAAACACATTCGTTTCGAAATTCAAAATACACACGGTCGGACAAAAATACAGTCGGGAACAAAAGTTCAAACAATATGAGAGAACAAAAAGAACGAGGCAGTGTGCGTGTTGCGTGGTGGGGTGTACACTTCGACTGTTTTACTTGAAATAATGACACACAAATGAACAGAATGTTTAAATATATTTTAAATATTACATAAACTTGTGTTTGTGGTGTCTGCTGAGTGAAATCTCAAATAGGTACCGTTTCTTGAGCTACTCAAATATTAGACGACCTAAACATTTTTTTGAATAATGTCTTAAAATACGCCTAATTAATATTTTTGTCCCACAGAACGTGTCTGTTTACTATTGTTCTTTAATGTGAAAGTTTTATGAGTAACTGTTCTTCAACTATGAAGTAGTTTTATGAGGGACCTTGAAAAGTCATTTGATTGGTTTTCTTTTCCTATTTTCTTTCAAATAATGTCTCTTATGACGCAACCTAGGCTAAGCATGAGGCTTTCTTACATATACAGTATGCTCCAAAATAAAGCGACACGTATACCCGCGGCTACACTTATACAGGGTGTGCACAAGTCGTACCAGTCATTGTGTCGCCGCAATTAAAGCAAGTCGGCGCAGTCGTCTGAACCAATTTAATGGCCCAAGTTATTGTTTTTTTAACGTTGACGTTGACGTGGGGTATCGAGAGTTTATTCCACTCTTAATAAGGTTTAATGGATGTACTGTTATATCGATAGTAGGCAGTTTTATGCCATGTAGGTAGGCACTAGGCAAGTTTTGATAAAAACTTTTTACTTATTCACGCAACCTCCTTTCTAACCACAAACAAAAACATAACAGGTAGCTGTCATCTAACACAAAAGAAAAAAAACATTTTAATTCAATATTCAAAAATGGAACGCTATCCGTCAATTTAAAAACCATAAAAGCATCTCGAGTGAACAGAACAGTCATTGAAATAAATCGACTGCGACCATTAAAATGTAATCGAGACTCCGGCAGCTTCGCAAAAAACGATTACATTGAAAAGACACTGAGTATAAGTGAACCAATTCAATGAACACAATCGTCAATGTAAACCGTTCTTTAAGAATAAATCTAATGAAAAGAAAAAATGAGATTCGTTTTTGTGTTATAATAAAAGGTACGCCCTCGCACGAAAAAATATTCAATTAAAATAATACGAAAACTTTTTATACAATACAAACAACTTTTATTGAATTACAATAAAGCGAATACTGGCCATTTTGAATCTCATTATGTGTGCGAGTGGGATAGAGGATAGTGTTATTGTGTTTGTGTGAAAGAGATGAATGGAGGTATTGAAATGTGTGGAATGAATATAGACATCTGCTGGTAAATGATGCTGTTGGCAATGTTTTGCTTTTTAGTTTTATTTGTCGTGTATCAACAATGTTCAGTCTGCAGGGCTTTAGTAGGGGATGAATATAATTATAAAGATATTAATGTTAAACTGAACTATTAACGAATGATAACAATGGTAGGATCAAAATGGCTTGTTTTGATAACAATTTTGTGTTCCAATCAAAAAGAAAATTAACTAGTTGTTAAGTTTTCCTTCTCGTATTTTTTAAACCTAACGACATAATAAATTTACAGTGTATGCTCACTGAAGGTATATTTTCTGCTCAATATAATATGGTAAGTAAGTATATTATGTATGGAAATTAGAAAATACGCGAAAAAGTTAAAATGTTTGATCTCAATAATTTATTATGTTTTCGGCTTACTCACGTAGTAATTCGACGAGGAACTCGACTAGTTTCAAAGCATGCTAGAGGCTCATATTCTTGAGCAGCATTTCGCGACCCAACAAACCTACAGCATGTTTGATCTCGTAGCAACTGCGTAGCAATTTCGTAGCAAACACATTTTCAAAATCTACTCTCTAATTTCTTTCTTTATTGAAACAAAGAGTTTCCTTTTTCTTGTATAGAAGCACTATTTCTATGGATTGTCAGTATGCATATGTGAGCACCATGTTAGACTTAAGATCTTTATTATTTTTATTTTTATTTTAGTAAGTTAGTAGTATAATGCGTCAAGCGTGTCTTTGCATTGTTCTTACATATGCGTACAGTATTGAAATATGTATCAGAGACATTGTAGAACATACTTTTTTTAAAAAGAGTAACGAATGGAGTTTCTTGCTCGTTCTTCTCCATTCGAATCTACGTTTTGGAATGAGCACCTAGCTTCACCTAATTTCACTGACGGACTGACTGACAGACTATTATTTATTTTGTATTTGTTGACGTTTCAAAAGTACCAAACTATGGTTTAATTGAAATAAATGCTTTGACTTTGACTTTGACGTTGACTACGGTTGCAACAAAGGGTAAATGATGGTAAACTAGTAAATTATTACACACAAAGAATATCGTAATCATTACCTACTGTAAATATTTAAGTATATGGCGGGGACTCCCAGGTATATGTCGTGTACTGGTCTAATTTAACCAATAGTTCTATCCTTGAACCCAAGTTAAATAAATTAATGCGCAATTATTGAATAGTTTCATAACCATTCTTGAATATTAAGTTTGTCTTACATCTAATAAATATCTATATCATAAAATAAATAATAAAAAGTTGGGGTGTTAACTATATTATCTATTCAGCCTATCTCTACTAGGACCATAGACGTGACGCCACATTTTAATATTACAATTACTATACGTATCACAGTAACTACAAACTAAATAAATTTTCCTATCCACACAATGAACTCCAAACATTTCCACTACCTCCGTACAATAACGCGCGTGTGTCGACACTTCGGCAATGTTTCGCGTAGATTTATGCGTCTGCTTATAACACTGGCCGGTCGCGCGAACAAAAGCTGCATTGTATTGTGTGCATTATAATGTCACTGCGTTGCGGCAACTATTGTTGGTACTGGCCAATATACGGCGCGCACTCGCCTTTATATTATGTACTCGTACCAACTTTCATGGCTATACTGATATTTAATTTTGTTTTATTAAATTATCATGTTGCGTCCAACCGTCTATCTGTACCGTTTATCTGTAGGCTTATGTTCAGCAGTGACCATCTTATAGCTGATGCGAGAATTCAAAGTCAAAGTCAAAATCATATATTTCAATTAGACCAGGAAGGCACTTTTGAACGTCAAAACAAAATATTTAAATATTAAATAATAAGTAAAAATGTCAGTCTGTAGGTCAGTCCTTTAGTGAAGTTATTTGCTCGTTCCAAAGTGTAGATTCCTATGAAGAAGAAAGAGCAAGAAACTCCATAGGTTACTCTTTTTCAATCAGGTTCACAATACAATTTTTGTATTTCAATTAAACTTCTTTAATGCGTATACATACAACTTTATACTTCTGTTTCATTCATGGACCGTAGGTGGCACTACAAAAGCCCTTGATGTAAACAACGACCCTTAGCCATATATATAGGTACTCCTTTAGCTTCCATCATCTTCACACATTCAGATATTCGATCAGTCAAACCAGTATGTGTGTGTTTACAGAGTCAAAAATACGTAAAGGAATCAACCGCAGCAGCAGCAGTAGCAGCGTTAAAATAACACATAGTTAGATCTATGTCTTTTATAACACAGACGTTATTATCAGTTAGACAAGATAAGACTAACAAGAAATGTAGAGCATGATCTGAATACATTTACCGAACTAAACCTACAGCGAAGCACCTAAAGCAACCAGGTACTGAGGATGGGAACATCCACCAAAATGATATATGTCCCGAAACAGTCATACAAACACATAATTACAGTGCAATGTTTAGCAAGCGAAACATCGCGCGTACACTGGTGGCCATAAATTTGAGCGCACAAAGCCGCAGCGCCGCGCCGCGCTTTGTGCTGGAGATTTAGTGCGCGCTGCCCGTGACTGTACAGTGTACCACGCACGCGCCACTAGCGTCACTATTCATCTATGTTACTTTGCCAAGGGGTAGCTTTGATACTGTGACCTGGCAGCCGTGGACAAATTACTGAAGGCAAACCTTTGGGATGTTGCTAATCTTGGAGGACATTTTCATGAAAACGTTGAAGTTCTTCGTTTTTCATGTACATTTGCGTTATTTCCTTTTTATTTTAAGCTAAGAATAAATTATCGGCCTTCATAACTGAGTGCTATTAATTTAACTTTTTGGAATCCGGACTAAATGCTTTAAGCATGCAGAAAGAAAGTATAATTTCCAACGTATTTGCCAATTAGAAACGGTCGTATAGACTAAACTTAGTTTTGATTTAGTTTAAGTGTGCGAGAGCCATGCTTCGGCACGAATGGGCCGGCTCGACCGGACTGATACCACGGCCGAGCAGAAAACCGACGTAAAGCAACGCTTGCGTTGTGTTTCGTTGTGTGAGTGAGGTTACCAGAGGCCCAATTACCCTCCCCTTCCCCAATCTCCCCAATTCCTGAATTCCCAACGATCCTCAAACTTCTAATCCCCAAAAGGCCGGAAACGCACATGTAACGCCTCCGGTGTTCCAGGTGTCCATGCTTACCATCAGTTGATCCGTCTGCTCGTTTACCGGCTTACGCCATAAAAAATGAATTAAGAAAAAACCGTATAAAACCTCATATTACTATCAAAGTTTTGATCTAATTTAAGTTATAAACCTAAAAACAAAGCTCAATATACAACAGCCATTGAATGTTCATATATAAAAACAATTCAGTAGAGCATCAAAGAGCCCCAACAG